AAACAAACAACATGGTAAAACTGCCTGAGGTTAAAACATAAAACATGGGAGTGTTACTTTTTAGTTTTCATGAGTGCAACAGTTTGCCTTTTGTCCTTGTTCTTTTTCCTGGGGAAAGTTAACAAAGTAAACAGTGTTTTGCTTTTCGGAGTTCTACTAGTTTTACTTTTACATAAGCAGCTTGAAGCAAGAACAACTTTACTTTTGGCAGTGTTACTTTTGTTCTTTTGCTGGGAAAAGTAAAAAAACAACTAAATCTATTGAAGTATACAATTGTCTAATGTTCACACCTTTACTTTTTGCGTTGCATGCGTCCAACAATTTGACTTTTATGTGCTTGCTTTTACTGGAGAAAGCTAAAACAGGGTAAACTTCCAGAAGCAAAACGGGCCAATGAAAAGTGACAAAAATGAACATGAGCATGTTTCCAGTGTTTCTCCATTTTTGCCGAATCTAGCAGGAAATTCCATTCATGTTTCACCCGCCAGAAGTGGATACGTATGCATTCATTTTGCCACTGTGTTGGGTCTACGGGATGCACAAGCTGCTTCAAAACGGCCCCATCTGCATCTGCAGCTACAAGAAGCGTGCTGACTACCGTTGCATCCTTACAACAAACATTATGATTCATTGCTGTATCATATTCTAAATCAATTAGTTCACCACACAGTGAAGACATGTTTCCACTGGTTTAGGTCTACGGGATGCACAAGCTGGCCCCATCTGCATGTATTCAATGTCTTGGTCGTATTCCAAAACAATTAGCTCGCAAAACTGAGAACAAGTTAAGAACTCGCGAAGGTCCAAACAAAAGTCTTAGAGTTAAGTCTGAAGCCCCAGCCATGGGTCAAAAACCAAACCGTACCCCCAAAAAATTTGGTTCTAAAATGGGTGAGCACCTATCCCAAAATGGGCTCCCATTGGTTTTGACAACCACAGCCATGTGAGATCTCCAAGTTCCAATTCTCCAAGTCTTCGTCCACCTACTTGACATCTACCTGCTGTCGGTTGTTTCGTCAAAAGTTGAACCGGTCCAGTTGAACGCAGAGGTAGTTGTTCTTCTGCTAAATGCTGTAGCTTCAACTGATATAAAACGCCATCAAATACGTTTAACTCAATTAAATGACCTGTGCTTGCATGAATATACTCTGCAGATCTATATGTCGATATACCCTTCTATTCCAAATAGTTGCATGGTGCATCGCAAGTGTTTTTGCTAGTGGGAAAAATCACTTCAGCCAACGCACCTTCTGCAACTGAAACTGCATGTTTACCTAGCAATACGTCATATGGGTGCACTAAAAGATATCTTGTAAGGTACGCGCTACCTGCGATTCCTGCATCACGCAAGACTCTGGTAAACGATTCATATTAGAAGTCCCAAGGGTTTAGTACTGCCCTTATTGCTCCTTTTAGTGCACATCTAGAAAACCATTTGTTTTCTGGAACAGAGGGTCTCTTCGTCATTTGCTCAATACATGCTATTGTGGATAGTTTAGGAGTCTAGTAGCTATCTGTCAAGGCGTTGTCTGTCTTACCTGGAATGTGTACGACAACTCCGTCAACCCGCATATGGGCCCCTGGCTGGCTCTCAGCGGCTCGCGGCCCTTGAAGTGAGGTGGCAATTGCCTTAGGAAAAACCCAGCTGTCAGCTTCTCCAAGAGATTGAGCAAGCAGGTTGGGTGTGCTTATTTGAGGCTGGGTACCCAACTGTTGGGGTTGGTTTAAAGGGAAGCCCAAAGAAAACCAAAACCCATGTGAGTCATAATCAAAACCCGGTATCAAAAAGGTCTAACCAGAACCACGTAAATAATTAAGAAGGCGGCCGCAACTATTTATGGTTAGGATTGTCCCCTACTAACGTTCATCTACCCGAGTTTTGATTGTGGCTCATGTTATGGACCCGGTCCCAAACCCTGATTTTGACAAGCCATACAGGCCATAAGCCTGCAACGGTGGCGCCGGGTTGAGGTACTTCATGACTTGATGCCTGGCGAGAGTCGCCTAAGCATAAACTGCATAAGCAAAAGGGAGCGCTGGCTTGTCTCACAGGGGAACCCTAAAATGGATCCAAATGGGCAGTGTTCCCTTTAAACTTCCTTCAAAAAGCAAAACACAAACGAATTGGGGGTCTCGGGATAGGGATTCATATCAAAACTGGCTTCGGTTGTCCCTTTCGTTTCCTTTTGAAACCATTCCAAAAAGGGCGCCGAGCCTCAGACAAGTACACACCCATCTGGAAAGCACCGCTTTTCAACGTGGGGTGTGTGTGTGTGTGTAGGGTTCCCTGTGCTTCCCCTAACATCACCAAAAGGAACCAATCTGAAATCTGGCCCAAAAAGTCACTACAAAAAGGGAAACTAAAGGGGAACCTGGTGTATCCAGGTTCTATTCCTGGTCATGTTGAACCAAACCTGTGTCGAGCATCCATCCCGCTTTTTCATCGAAGGAATGTTCGCACAGCCGCAAGCAGGTCTTCACCTCGATTCGGGGGATGGGTTTGTCACGTCAGGCGGCATCGGGTGACGAATCCAATGGCTCTGAGGCGCCCGTATGCCATTTGACCACCTTGGCCACGACCTTGGCTGGCGGGTCAGCTCGTTCAGGGATAAACATCGTCCCTTGGTGTTGTTGGTGTTTCCCCAGGCCTTATTGTTGGCTTTGGGTTGGTTCAGGGTCGGCATAGGATGGGTTTAGGGTAGATTTGGGGTATGTTTGGGGCTTGAGAGTGGACGCACAATTACTTGGTAAGATGAACTCAAAATCTGGGGAGACCCACGACACTGAATCGATGAACCTCCGTCTCCGTCGCCCGAGCCTGCGATGCAGACGGCGGGTCCGTCAAGCGGTCCAGAAGCCCGAAGCGCTTCAACGGGGGCGAGGGCGGCGCGCGGCACAGCAGGAGGTCCTCCGGGCCTTGGCCAATTTGGGCACAGCAGACATGAGTATGTATGACGAGTATGTGTCAACATATTTGGACCCCCCAAATCGGTTGTGGCCTTCCGGCTTACCTTGAAAACAGTCCCAACAAGGGTACCAACAAAACCACCCACACAGCCACATGGAAGCCCAAACGTCTTTTACCAGCTGACGCGATGGGAACCAGTTCGTTTGTCAGAACCCTTTGAACGGATCCCCCGAATCAAGACTTGGAAGCGGGAATCCGATAACACAAAACCCAGTAGGGCATGTTGGAAGGAAAAATTAGAACATACAAGCACTATTACCATGTACTTTGCCCACTCGAGGACTGAAACAGGGGCCTGGACCCTCAAACCACCCATAAGAAGCCTGTCGTTGCCCAAAAATATGGGGATTTCCCAATTTCAAGGGCAGTTTGAGGATCCAGATGTGGTTCCCGCGCCTTCAGGGGTGCCCCAATTTTCCACCGCGCCGCGCAGTTGGCACGCTGGGCAGAAGTCCCCAGATCCGTCGCCCACGTAGCAGATGCGCGAAGGCCCCTCGCGGTCAAGCAGTTGCCGCAAGACCTGGCCCTGAGCCGAAGGAGGTGGTCTCAACTTTTTGACCAAGATGGACTGAAACCCAGGGGTTCTTTCTCCTTTTGGGAGGAATGAACCCCTGATTTTAAGCCTACCCCGGGGTAGTCAGAAAGTGGAGCCCTGGTCTCAACCGTAGGGGACATAAAAGGGTTACCCTCAAGAAAGGCCACACCTGAGTGATGGTGTCAGTACATGCAGCGCAATTATTGAATACAACGTGTCTTGAGTTACACCAAATCGACGCGAGATGGCCTTGCACAAATTGCTGGGGCACAGTGCGCATCCGGGAGGTTCCGCCTCAATCCATTCCAAGCTGAAACAAGATTCCCTGCTCGGGCATGATGTCATCATCAATTTGCCAAATCCGTCCATTCTATATCCAAGCAGCATGAAACGGCTTGATGTGAAGCCTCCCCTCACCATCAAACTCTGCTTTGTTGGAGATGATGTCCTCGAAACATGTCCCAGCTGCGCGCACCTTCTTGATGAACGGTGCAGACATCTCACACGGACGTGTGCAAAGCCAGCGCTCCGAGATTTGGTTCAGACATTTTTGTTTGCAAGGCTTTATGAATATGTCTTCTCTGACTGTATGCCTTTCCCACAGTTTTCCGCTGAATTGCCGACAAGAAGCAGAAAAGCAGCGCCGCAAACCTTCTTTCTTCAGAAAGGCCTGAGCACGAAGCTCGGGAGAATTATTTGAAAGTCCCGCTTTTTCGGGGTTCAAAGAGGGTGGGCTGCTCAGGTGACAGCTGCAAGAGAGCCATTCCCTGCCTCTATGAATATAGTGTTGGCATCGCTGAGAACCACTTGGCGGGCCTGAGCACAGTGAAACTCTTGCAAAGGGCATCGCAAAGCCGAGTAATCAAGCAGAATGACCAGTTCAGGAAGCTGTGTTGCAAACCGTTGCCAACCTCCAAATTGGGCGGGGTGGCAGCATCTTCGGGTTCCCGTGTCCTTGTCAAGGGCACCCTAAAATGATGGTAATCCTTTTGCTTTGGCTTCAAAACCACAAAAAAAAAAAAACGTACCCCATTTGGAGACAAGCCTGCCTCTTGCCGAAACCAAACAAAGAGTTGTCTCACATATTTGCAATCAGCTGGACCATCTAGCAGCCGCTCTCCCATCAGTCTGGGGAAGCACATCTCAATTCATTTGAAGCCCTTTTGGGGGCAAGATCCCTTTCGGTGCTTCCCCCAACCTGTCCGCTTTTCCGAGAAAACAAAAGTCGCCTGGGCGGCGTTCGCCACTGCGACCGCCTGCAGGCAGCCCGGCAGCACTGGGACCTGAGCGACCACCGCCTCCAGCTCGGAGCCTCGGATGTGAGCTTTGGACGCCCCCAAAATGGCCTGGGGCCTTGAAGTTTTTTGGGCTTCCCCTTAAGAAAAACAACAAAACAAGGGGGGTACCCTCCCTTTGAAATTCTAGTTTTTTTGGTTGGTTTGGTCGGCTTTTTGGGTTGGTTGGTTTGGTTTGGCAACCAAAGAAAGGGACCAAATCAACAGCAAGACACGCCCAGCTACCCTAGAAGGTGGACATTACCCACCATAGTTTGGGGGCGTGCCCCATTTGGGGAAGTTTCTTCTGGGTCCAGGTGGAAATCAAAGGTGATCGATCTCACCTGTTGGGACGAAATATGTTGCACGGCAAAACGAAAGGTCCAAAGGTTGATGCGATGGAGCCCACTTTGAACAAGCCCACCCCCAAAGGCCACCCCTCCGGCCTTTCTCAGAATGGACCCCCCTTTGATCGGCATTCGAAGCCATTTTAGGGAAACATTACTGTAGAAACTTAGAAACCAAAGGAAACCAGCCACTATTGTAGGGAACCACTTTTTTGGGGAACCACTAATGGCAATAAAAACCCAAACGAAACCAGCCATTTCAGGGGAACGATTCCGATTTTGACAACCCCCCTTCTCGGGATGAAACACCTTGAGAGGGTAAGGCGAAGTGTGTGGGTGTGTGGGTGTGTGGGTGGTGGTGTGGGTGGTGGTGTGGGTGGTGGTGTGGGTGTGGTGTTGAGAGCTGTGTTTGAACTCGCTTGTTCTTAGTACGTAAATATGGGAATGACCTCTACCCACCACTATTAGGTTCTAGATGATTGAAGGTCCACGTCCACATTCCCCAAGGACAAGTAAGGCAAATCATAGTTGTCCTGGAAACTTATTCTGGACTCATTCTGGGTTTCTTGGTGCCAGGAAACGGGTGACACCTCTCGCAAAGAGCTCCTTGACTTGCGAATCCATGAGCTCTGTCCAGCCTGCAGTGCACCCACAAGCCTCAAATTATTTTGTCGTTGGAACACATCCTCCATACAGGCGCAGAATACTTTTGCTTAATTACGGACCGTTTGGTTGTTGGAAAATCCCAAGGCCACGGCTTGCTCTGGAGGGCCCAGGAAATCCCCTTCAAACTTGCACAAACACTCGCTAAAGTCATTGACGATAATATTTGGAGATCACCAACCATAATTTTGGCACACCCTTCCAGCTGGCAGGCAGGCTGGCAGCAACTGCTTGGAAGGCGCAAGTTGGCAAAAACTGCCCCCCCCCCCCCCCGCTTCGGGTTTGGCGCCCTCCGGCAGCACCGGGTTTCTGATTGCAGAAAGAACCAGACAACTAAAGTAACTACAACCAAACCAATACTAAGAAGTACTAATACTAGTTCCAGAAATAGGTGCCCCGTTTCTACATTACCGGTTGAGAAGCAGTTGATTAGAAATTATTTGTGCTGTTTCAACCGCATTGGCAGTATCGGTCCTCTTCGGTCCTCTGTGTAATATTTGTCAAGATTTGGCTTAGCACTGGAGACTGACTAGCTTGCTACCTTTCGGAATGCGCCAGGGATACTGTTTTGTCAACTGCTAGCCTGGGACCCTTGAACAAACCATATGGCCATGAAACTACTTGTGAGGGCGCAATGTAGCGTAGAACGCCAAACAGCCGCAGCTCCAGCTCGAAAGCCGCAACTGTTCAGCGCAAACGCAGTATGCCGAGCACACCTCCGCAGCTTCAGCTTGAAAGTTGCAACTACTCAACGCAAGCCAAGTGACGGCAAAAAACGGATCGCGGGCCCGGGCTGGTTGGGTGTGCAACAAAGTATGTAACGGCTATGTAACCAGGTGTATAACGAGGCATAGCGCGGAAAAAAGACTGTTTTTCTTCCGGCCCTTGCTCCAACTTTTTTTTCTGAATGGCAAGCTCTCTGCAAGTTGACTCTTCAGCGATGGCACGCTCTGCAAAAGTCTGCTCCGCAGGCACCCATGGGAAACATGCAGCAGGGCACTCAGGCAACCAGCAAGGCAGTCTTTTTCATGTGAGGTAAGGATATGTAACGAGGGGCGCGTAACAAGCCAGCGGGTCTGGTTACAGGTCTGCAACGATGTCTGTGACGAATGTCCGCCGCGGTTCTGTTAGAGACCCCTTAAAAAACATCGCTCGTGTGGGACCTTTGATCTCTTGGGGTCTTTTGTCTGCAAACAACTTTTCTAAATTGGGCCATTGGCTACCTTTATAATGCGGCGCTGACTATTTTCCAACACTCACTTGGTAGCCTTGGATGCAGTTAATGCCGCAGCATTTCCACGTTTCAAAGCAAGGAGATGCAAGGACAATTGAGCAAGGGATCTTGGGTCCACCGCGGTCTGTGCGTCGATAGCAAGTTAATTCCTTGCGACTTCAGCCATGAAGGCTCGGCTGGCGTAGGAGCACCTTAAAGAATATGCGAGAGCTGGCCGTTGCTGCTGGCGTGGCTCAGCAGGTTTCTGGTCATTTTCTTCCCAGAGAGGGGCTGGCCACTGCGCTTTTTGACCACTTTCCAACACCCCAGGCTCGCGGCTCAAAATGTTTTGGTGGCACGTTTTGCTTTGCAGTCTGGCGTCGTAGAAGCTGTTGTAGGTTTGAAACCAGCTCCCGGCAACCAGTTCCACATCTTCAGCTCCTACACCGTCCCTCGCTCGTCTGCGACAGGGTTGTGCCAAGTGTGGAGCAGACTGGCTGCAGAGCGAGTTGTCTGGATTGATGGTGATGGATGTGCTCTCGCTCGCCTGGAGAGGGCTTGCCTCAAAAAAAGGCTGGCCGCTCACTCGCCAAGGACGAGCTGATCGCTAAACGACGGGCTCACTTGGTGCTCGCTGGTGCAGCGACTTGGCGAGTTCTTTTTGGGGGAACAAATCGGGTAGAAGTGTTTATCACAGTGTTTCTTCCGCTGATGGATTCTATGTCTTCCATGTCAGGCAGCAAGTTCTTCATCTTCGGCTCCTACACCGTCCCTCGCTCGTCTGCGACAGGGTTGCGCCGAGCATGGAGTAGACTGGCTGTAGAGCGAGTTGTCTGGATTGACGGTGAAGGATCTGCGAGCGGCCGCGTCCGCTATGCTCTGCGCATGGCTAATCTTGGCGCGCGGCATGACCACGGAGGCCGCCGTCGCGCAGCTTCTTCAGGCGAGGCCTTCCTTGAATTCCTTGCGGTCGTGGAGAGGCCGCAACTACGCCCTGTGGGCGCTGAAGATGTTGGAGAGAGCCCGCGGCGATGTTCTGGCTCACGATAGTACAGCTATAGAGTTCTATCGCCGCCACTTGCGAATGAAAACAAGCGAAGCAGTCATACGTGCATGAACCCAACACTCACTTTCCATTATGCTTTCGGGCCACCCGTGGTTTTAGTTGTTTTTTTCTTTTTCCGTCTGTGCGCATGCAAGGCCGAACATGCGTGTGAATGCGATACGTGTGAGCGTAACAACCGGTTGCGCCAACATGCGCGACTAAGTTTGATACGCGCGGCTTATCAATGCGAACGCGAGCATCGCGGAATTCTCCATGGCTGCTTTTGCGCTATGGCCACCTACAGTCAGTGCGTGTGCGCTCAGATTCTCTCCACCCACGGTGACCCAACTCTCAATCAGCGAGTCGAAACTCCGCTTCAGGGGCTGACTTGGGCGCTTTGGTCGCCTCTGGCGGCCCAAATTGCATAGTTTGACAGCGTTGTTTTCTTTAGTCGTCAAACCGCTCAGGAGGAGACTTCTACTTGACTTACTCGAATCTAACCGCTCGATATGCCTTAGTCCACTTTGGATGTGTATGTGTGTGTGTGTGTTGTGTGTGTTGTGCGCGTGCGCGTGCGCGTGCGCGTGCGCGTGCGCGTGGGCGTGGGCGTGGGCGTGGGCGTGGGCGTGGGCGTGTGGGCGTGGGCGTGTGTGGGTGTGTGTGTGTGTGGATGGGTGGGTTGTTGGGTTGGTGGGCTGGTTTGGGGCTCGCGGGCTGGGGCTGGAATCGGGTTTGAGAGAGATTCGATTCATGCGGTGTGACCGGATGTTAAGCGTGCCACCTGTTGTGCGCGAACTGAAGCGGGCCATGAGCTCCGGCCGCAAGACCTCCACAACATAGGTGTCCTGAGTCATAGTCGAGACGCCGACATGTAAACATGTATATATATATATCATATATTTATACATATATATATATACATATATATATATGTATATACTGCATATGATCATACTACAACCGGGGATGACACTCTCACGCGAATGATGGCTCCGGAATCATGGATTGGACAACATGAACCATGACCGACCATGACCTTCCAACTCGTCCACCTGACCTGATTATACTCCATCTCCAATGACGGTGCGAGGCTTCCAAAAACAGCTTTACAACCTCTTGGCTCCTTTTGGTGCTATACTCATTGCAGAATGACCAGACGTGACATGTTGAACATCAACGTGTGCAGCCAACCGCTGCCCGTCCGAGTTTGCGTTGATGAGGCTCCAGTCCTTGCAACCAAGTGCGATGGCTTGTTTGCAGGGAGACAACTCACCCGAAATTGTCAAGCTGCAAATGCCACATGCAACAAACCACACAGCTCGACTTGCGGTCCATAAAGCCTGATCTATCTTCACAGTCATTTTGGTGAACGCTTGGATTTGAATCGCACTTAAATGGCATGCCACTGAACGAGTCGAGACGTCATGCCTTCTTGCCAAGTCAGCTGCATAATCCCAAATCAGCAGCGTTCCTCCAGGCTCGCGGGGTGGCTCTTCCATGGCGAAATGCTGAGCGTGTACTGAGAAGCTCCGAGCTTCTCTCAACGGAGTTTGAGCCTCCCATCTGTGCATCTGGGCGTGTCCTTTTAAAGGTGTGCAAAAACATGCAAGAACGAAAAGGAAGACAACCCTTTTAGGGGATCCATATTATGAGAAACACCAGTCTGCAAGCTGGTATCAAGCCGATCAGTTGGCAGGCTTGAACCGCATTGGCTATGAAATCCAAGAACATACTTGCTACATGCAGAAAGTATGTGAGCAAATGGCCAGGATCATCACAACATCCTGTAGAGCACTGCGTTGTCTATGCTGCGTATTCAACTGGCATCGTCTTTGTACCTGGTAGGAGTTGCTCAATTTGATTGAAGCTCCCTGCCAAGTGGGAAAATCGTCACAAGGGACAAGCGATGCGCCTGGATCAAGGCACAGCTTCCCAACAAACGTGGATGACAATCCCGGCAAAGGATCCGGCAAGTAAATTGGAGGACACTGCCTTCATTGCCCATGCAATTGTCAGCGCTTGACAAATTCCAGCCATGCCCACGCTGCGTGCGCACACGAGGCCAAGCTGTGAGCCAAAAAGGATTTCTTGGAGCCACGCTCACTGGCGCTCACTGACAAAATGACGGGGAAGATGTGAGGGCCAAGACCGTGACCAATGCCTATGGCGCAACCGACGGTATGTGCGACCAGAATGAATCTGTGGAAAAAGAATACCTACCAAGCCTTGGTCTTACTAGCCGCCTGACTGAGACCCAAATTAAGCAAAATGAGAGAGGATGCATCAGGAATCCTTCCAGTGATAGAGACATCAGCTTCGCTGTGTGCTCAGGCGCGTGATTTGCCAAATATGGTTTCATGTTGGATGCTACATGGAGCAAGCGATCGGAATCCGTTTAATAGAACCCTGTTGGTCCGAAAGTCCGAAACCAAGGCACTTCGGTATAGGCCGCAACAGCGAGATAGATGAGGACGTGCCACCACCTTGGCAAGCGCCCCAAATCTGTTGTCAAAACTCATCGGGATGTTCGAATCGGTTCCTAGCAATCTCGTGGTTGCCTAAAAACCCTAGTCATGGGGTCACAACCAAAGGGGTCATGGCTGAAATGCTTGCGGGAAATCCTAGGCCTCTGAGTCCGGGATGTTTAGCGTCAAGCGCACGCCCCTGCAGCCATTCTTCCATACCAAAAATAGTTGGGGATGCCTGTTGTCAAGAGACGGCAAGGTGACGTCCCGTGGGACGCTGTGCACCGAACCCTCAAGCTTTAATACCAACCATGTAGAAAGGTGTATACGGACGATGCCGTTATAGCCGAACCCGTGTAAACGTTGTAAGGAAGAAGGAATGATAGTTACACCAGTAGTCCTGACAATGCAGCGCAAGCAGTTGTTTTGCTCTTATCGCCCGTCACGAATGTTCGCGGTCACACATCAGATCTTGAACCTCAATTGTGTCTTGAGCCAAATGGCGATCAATGGAACTTGGGAAGCAACACCAACAAGGACCTCAGAACAGCTACCCAATTTCGGCACGGGGCCTAGAGGGTTTTAACATCCCCCATTTGGGTCGCATTGTTCATCATGCGGTCCAAACACCACAAAACGTTCCACTGGCCACGGCTTCAACTACGAAATCGTGTCGTGCATTCTTTTACTTGCTATCACTACACCGTTCATTCGCTGTGAAACATGCCGGGTTCGATTGTACGAAAAGTGAAACATTCATCCTCCAATCGAAGCACACATCCATATGCAGGTGTATATAATACACTGTGGCCACTTCACTTGACCGCCAGTGAACATTCCAGCTGCCGCATTTGCGCATCGCGCAGCTGTCATCCATAAATGGGTTGGCCACAAATGTCCACCATGCGCGCCCGCTTGTGATCGGTCTGCATATCTCCGGCAAAGAAACATCGGTGAGTAATCAATGCAAATCATAGCCATTCCAGATACCATGGATAATGCATAAATAATGAAAAGATATCATCTATAAGGTAATAGTTCCATCCATGAATATCCAGAGCGTCATAGTCGTCGGAATATGTAACCATGTACACATCCAATCATCTTGGACACATGAATATAAATCATGACGTAAGTCGTTCCACCATAACAGTGTCGATGTGACGCAAGTAACAGATGGGGACTGGCCCACATCGTACCGCAATCATCATCTTCACGAAGCATACCTGTCCCCAATGGACAGCCTATGGGTACGTCGGCGGAACTCCTCGTCCAAGTTCTTCTGGGCTTCTCGTGCCCGGACACACTTCTTGTTGTAGTCCTCTGGCAACCAGTGCCCTTTCCGAAGGCACCAATCCAGCAGGGGTGTGTCGCATTTGTTCGGGTCGATGGCCGAGATGATGGCGCTCACGTTGACCGTGTAACCATTCTTGCCAAGGTTTAGGCCATCCCTCACGAATGATATATACTTACAGTTGAAAGCTAGTGCAAAACATCTGAAAATAATATCACCCACCGGGTGCACTCGGTCCTTGACCAGGAGCTTCATTTCTTCCTTGGTGACATCGAGGATTCTCGCTGCAATCCACAGCTTGTAGAATGTGTAAAGTCCCTCGCATTTGCACACATCATACGAATATATTCGTCACGCTCCTCAACCGATCGGAAGGCTCTTGTCCGAACATTCTCCGATTGAGAAATCTTCGTTATTGTTGATGGCAAAAGTATACCTTCCTGATCATGCTCGGTGATGTTGGGGTACCTCTTGAAGTCATTGTGATAAGGGCAGCCCGGCCTCCCTTCGAGTCCGGCGTTCATCGTTCTCTCCTCACCACCTTCAAACATCCCCCACATCTTGGACAGCTGGAGTGCGATAAATCCTGCCATGTACTGAGCCTCACGCGGCTCGTCAAGGCAGATCGCCATCCGTTGGGAACTTATAATGTCCCGTGACGTCAGATCGGTATCGCGGTAATGCCAACCGCCGTCTTCTTCTTCTGACGCATAGCCGGATGTATATCCTTGCGTGTCCATGTCGTCATCTTCTCCCGGAACTTCCTCCGCTTCGTCTTCATCCTCCTGTGCTGCCGCATCGTGGTTAGCTTCTTCCGGTGCACGCCTGGCATCTCCAGAGACGTTGGGGTTTTGGTTGTCCTCCTCGTCATCGGATTTGATGTGAATGTAGTATCTTCCGATGGAGATCAGTTGTGCCTCGCACTCCAGGCATAAGCAGAAGCAGGTGGGGATCGCGGTCGCGCATGATGGACATATCCGGCACCTCAGTCCTTCCCATGTCTCGTCATTCAGGATGACGACTTTGCTGATTTCGTCCCGGACCTCGTTGACCTGTGCATTGAACTCTTCCAGCTTGTTGATTCGATAGAGTTCGCAGGCACGATTAACCATGTCAACGATGTAGTGCAGATTATCGGCACCTGTCTCAGTCTCCGGCATCCTCTCCCTGATCTTTGCGACGTTCTGGAGGAACATCGCAGCCGACTCTTGGGAAGAGTTGACAAAGCCAGGGCAGATCTCGTTCTCCACACACTTCGAGTACGCCCTCTTGATGTCAGCGTACTCCAGGCGTTTCCCTCCGTTGCTTTTGCCAATCCAACTGGACTTGACCTCATAGAACGGGATCACGTCAAAGACCATGAAAGTCCCATTAGCCGCGACTCCAGCCCCATACCGCGCGAGGGTTGCACTGGGAATATAGATGATCACAATCGGATCCCCTCTCCTCACGTTCCGTAGCGTTGTCTTCGTCGCCACGTTCATCTCATCCCATGGAGCAAACGCCCCGAAGTGCAGTGCTAGCCTGTTACCGCCATCGATTCCGCCGGGGACTAGCCCACAGCGTACGATGCTTGGCAGGTTTTCCACATACGTCACATGGAATGCTCCTCCGAGAGTATCACCCATTCTTGCGGAATACCTATTCGCCAGTGCGGATGAGCCCATGAATCCAAAATCACTGTGACCGGTTGTGACTCGGATGCACCAAGGTCTGTACCATCCATCGCATCTGTTGAACATCCTGTCGATGTCGTCCCGATCCACGCCAGCCTTGGTCATTTCTTCCCTGGCTGCCCTCGTGTCGTTCGGGTTCATGATGCTCGGAAACCTTGCTGCCAGAACCTGGAATCTTGATTTCTTGCTTCCGGATTCCTGCCACTTGATCACCTCCATGATGCCCATGTAGCGTTTCGCTCTCGTGGTGTGCGGTGGGAATATGTCGTTGTTCCGGTTGTCAATGACAGCATCAATGTCGACCCATCCACCCTCGTCGCACCTGAAAGCACTTCCTCGGCAATTGCCGATCTTGTGTCGAAGGACTCTGCATAGGTCGTGAGATAGCTGGTTCGCTTGGTCCCTTGTAGTAAATACCGAGCGATCATCACCAATCCTGCATAGTGGAGCACCGTCGAAAGGAGCAATGCAAAAGTTGACACTCTTGCCAAGTTGCATCACGTCCACTTGCTCAAGGATTGCACCTCTGGGAAAGTACCTGGGGTCAACAATAGACGCGTATGCCCGTGGCATATGCACATCAATCATGTCGCCGTATTTCGGGATGTAGCACGGGATGGTGTCGCATCCCATCTCAAGCGTCTTCTTGAATGTCCTGCTGTCCCCGCACGGGTTGTATGTGAGGTCGACGCCACCACATTGTAGCTCTCCTCCCTCAGCCGTGTCAGCCATCTCCACCAAATTAATAGTGTAGCTGTGCATCTCAATTGTTTCTTTCCCTGCTTGTCCTCCTTTCTTTCTTTCCTTGGACGTTGATGAGGACGGTTCCTCCGTATCCCCCATGTCTTCATCAGATGAAATAGGGTCACTGCTGAGTAGCTCACGGAGCACCTTCATCGCCTTCTCATTTCCAGCAGCCTCCTCAATGTCCTTGCAGTCGCCGTCGTGGGCCAGGTTCGCGCACTTCTTACAGATCCCCATGTCTCCCATACACTTCTCCATTGACTCCAGGAATCCTAGTGCCGCTCTCCGCCCATCGATCACACGCTGCTTCTTGTCTTCCTTCTCAGTATTGGTTTGAGAACTTCGACTCGGGTCTGGTGCTTGACCAAGACCCTCA